GCTCTTCTCGAGCTGGGCGCGGCCCACGAGAGTGGTCGAGGATGGACCGAGGAGGCAAGGATGCAGGGGTGCCCTTTGGAAGGTTGCCTGTCCTTACTATGCGGGCTGGCTGTAAAGGTGCAGGCAAAGATGGCGCAAGCACGCCAGAGCAGGGAGAATGAAGGCACCTCCAAGGGGGTGGGCGTCGCGATGGGGGCCTCTGGGAGGGCAACAGTTTACTACTGTAGAGGCCTCCCAGAGGGTCCGAGTAGACGGGGTCGAGGGATCGCGCCGCATCGGCGATGCAAAGCCGATGCATGGCCGATGCATCGGCGATGCATTGGCGATGCACCAGCGACGCTGGCGATGCATCGGCGACGTCGGCGTGGAGAAAACTGGGCCCCACGTCGAGCCGCATCGCCGATGCATCGGCGATGCGCGGCTATCCGTCGACCCCATCTGCTCCGAGCCCATCTGGGAAGGAAGCCCAGGCATACGGCGGGCTCTGGAAGACCTAAACCCAAAACTGCTATCATCTCTTGGAGGGCAACTTGATGAGCCCACTCTCCACCACCACTACCATATGTAGGACGGGAGAGAAGGGAGGATGAGAAGGTCCTCCTCCTCCTCCTCCTCCTCCTCCTCCTCCTCCTCCTCCTCCTCGTCCTCCTCCTCCTCCTCCTCCTCCTCCTCCTCCTCCTCCTCCTCCTCCTCCCTCTCCTACCTATGGTAGTGGTCCTATGGTAGCGGTGGTGGAACATTGGCCCATCACACCTCCTCCTTCCGCCGGCTTCCCCCGGCCTCCCCCTTCGACTCAGTGCTCCCAAGCTGGGAAGGCGAACCACCCCCACCCCCAGTCCCGACCCCATCCTGGAACCCGCAACCCAGGGGGTCGGGACTGGGGGGTGGGGGTGGCTTTTTGGGGCCCGAGAACGGAGAAAACCCACCCCCACCCCCAGTCCCGACCCCGTGAATCGCCGGCTCGGGGATGGGAGTCGGGATTGGGGGTGGGGGTGACTTTCGCCTTCTGACAGGCACCAGGAATTCCGCTGCGCGGGGGCTTCCGAAACGACCGGCAAAAGGGCACGGCGCGACCCGCCGTCGGCAGGCGCCCCGAGGGAGGGTTGGCGCGAAGGCGACGAGGCAGCTGTCGCCCTGGCCCCGCTCCCGCGCACCCTCCCCCCTCCTGTAGGAGTAGCACTATAGCTTGTTTTTTTTTATTGGTGGGGGTAACGCCCGTTACGGGGGGTGTCCAGCCCCAAGTTGGGGGTAACGGTAACGCGCGGCGGGGCCTTCGCACGGGCCCTTGTACTTATGACCAGCACATCTGTCGGCACGGTAGGCTTCGTCGTCTTCGTCGTCGTCGTCGCCGCTGTCGTCGTCGTCGAAGCCGACCGTGCCTGTGCACACTACACAGGCTCTGTACACCGCGATGCCTTTGTACACCACAACTGCGGCAGAAATGGTATGTGTGTGCACCACGGCGACTGAGCACATCATGGTAGGCGGGTGCACCACAGCGCCCTTGTACATTTCACTGTTGGTGCACACCACGGCGCTCGCGTGCACCACAGCTGCTGTTTCAACGGCCCGTGTTTGCACCAGAATGCCAGCGTACACCACAATGACTGTGTACACCTGTAAGGTACCGGCGGAGCGAAAGTCCAGAAGATCGCTCGGGGCCCAACCGTGGCCCTTTCATTATGTGAGCTGCTTGTGGATCTTAGTTTTCTGGTTAAAAAAGCGCTCGGACCTGTTGAGCCCACAGCGCCTGTGTTCTCCATTGCGACTGTGTACATCATGGGAGTGTGAACCGTGGCGCCTGTGTATACCACATGGCATGTGTGCACCACAAAGCTTGTGAACGGTTTTTTTTGTGCGGAGTGTAAACCACGCACCGTGGGGGCGCGCGGGGCGGCGGCAGCCTAGGGAATACAGGAAGCAGGAGCTCCCTGCACAGGCACAAGGCCCATGAGACATGGGTCGACGGCTGGAGCGTGCACGCGGGTGCGTCATCGTCGTCGCCGTCAGTTGCGACGGCGACTGGGGGGGCGACGGCGGCGGCGGCGGCGACACAGGCGGCGGCGATGGCGACCACGACGACGACGACGACGACGGCGGCGGCGACGGCGACGACGCCGACGGCGGCAAGCGGCGGCGGCGGCGGTGAAGGTAACCCGCCGCCGTCACCGCCGTCGTCGCCGCCGCCGCCGCCGCCGTGTCCGCAGCCAGTTGCCGAAAGCTTCAGCAGGGCGCTTGGGGCCCACTTGCTGGATACACACGCGGGGGGCTGGCGTGACCAGCCGCGCGAGGTAGGAGGGCCGAGCGCTGGAAGGACATGCAGCCACATCCGCGCGCAGGTCTCGCCCGGTCCAGCCCCTTGCACCAGCACAAAGAGAATGGAGGGAGGACAGTGGTAGTAGTCATAATGATATTGTGAGAGTGCACCGGCTGGTTGCGCCATGGCTTGCCCGATGCGTTACACCACACGTTGTGCTTGCGTACAATTACCTGCGCCATAGGTTGAGCCGTAAGCTGCGCCACAGGATGCGCCCCCAGGGCGTGCCATAGCTTGCGCCATAGGTTGCGCACCCAGGGCGCCCCACAAATCGCGCCTTACGTTGCGCCTTAGGTTGCGCCCTCAGGGCGTGCCATAGGATGCGTCGACGGTTGCGCCACAGGTTGCGCCAAAGGCGGGGTCACTTTGTGGCGCTGCGTTTCAACGGAACTCCTGGTGCGCGCACTGTTCGGGGAAACGTCGTGCTGGCAGGCGGGCGTCGGGACTCCGGGTGCAGCCCGCAGGATAATGACAACGGACGCGGCAGGGATGACGACGACCATTCTGTGGCACCTGTGGCGCGCCACACCGCCGATCAAGTGCTAAAGCGCAGTGCCCGTTGGCACTGCCCGCAAGATTTGGCGGCGAGCTGAGGGGGGAAATGACAGGGGGCGGGCCTTCTGAGAAGGCTCAGAAGGCCTCCGGCCTTCTGAGAAGATGTCCAAGCCTCCCCCGAAGACACGGAGGGCTTCTCTGAAGGCCAGAGGGCTTCTGAGAAGTCCCGCCGCCTTCTGAGAAGGCCTGCCCCTCTCACTCCCCCCTGGGTTCGCCGCCGAAAGATGTCCACTGGAGGTCGCCCATGAAGCAAACAGGTAGAGAAGAGGAAGTGGAGGGTAGGTGAAAGGAGGATCGGAGAAGGATGATCTGAGGAGGACGCTCGGAGGGACCAGAGGAAGATGATCCCCCTCCTCCTCCGATCCCCCTCCGATCCTCCATCCTCCTCCTCCTCCTCCTCCTCCTCCTCCTCCTCTTCTGCCCCCTCCTCCTCCTCATGCCCCTCCTCCGATCCCCCATCACCTCCTCCTCCGATCCTGTTCCAACCCTCCTCGTCCTCCTCGTCCTCCTCATCCTCCTCCTCCTCCTCCTCCTTCTGCCTCGCTCCCCCCTCCCCCCAGGAGGTGAGAGGAGGTGGAGTGCACGAGCACTGGAGGGAGTGCAGAAGCAAGGCAAAGGAGGTGGAGGGGCCAGGCCGGAACCCGTTGAAAGGTTCGCGCCGAGGGATGCGAACCTCGAACCTCGAGGATCGAGGCATCCTGGCCCTCGAAGGCCTTCGTCGTCGCCGCGGCTGGACGCGGCTCGGGAAACTGGTACGTCTGAGCCCCAGTCGGGCCCCGTGGACCCATTTTGAGTTTGCGCCGAGGTTCGAACCTCGAACCTCGAACCTCGAACCTGAGCACACATGTGAGCGTCACAGCATGCCTGCCTGGACGGAGGGGGGGTCCGCACCCCCGTCCCCGCACGCTCGTTACCGTTACGGGGGGGGGGAACCCCCCCCGTAACGGGCGTTACGGGTCCGAACAATAAAAAACAAGCTCCTAATGTCTAGAAACTGTTAAACAAATTATTTTGGGGAGACAATTTAAAAAATGGTTTTCCCCAGCGCTGTGGTGCGCCTATAGAAAACGAAAGGGAGGCGGGGCAAACTGGATTGCTGGAGACGTCCCCGCAACCGCCCTGGCGCCCTGCGTGCAGGGGCAGGGGAGGCCCATCCGCAGGCTTCCGCCTGATCGGGGATCTTCGGACTCGGGTCCATCCAGACCTGGGTCCGCCAGGCCTCCGAGGAATCCTGCCCAGCTCCTGCAGGATCCTGCGCCCAGGCCCCGGTCCGTGCGGACGATCCTGCGAGACCCTGCAGGACCGTGCACCCAAAACCCGGGTCGATGCGACCCTGGCCCTGCAGCATCCTGCAAGATCGGGCGCTCTGGCTGACCCCCGCCTCAGCTTGAACGCCCGAAATGGGTACGGAAAGAATGGGTACAATGCCCAACAACAAATGTTGTCCCAAACCAGCAGCGGCCGCTGTTGGGCAGGCGGCCTCCTGTTTCAAATAGACACAGGCCGCGGCGGCGCGGACAGCGAGCCCTGTTCAAAATGAACAGGGACCGCTGTTGGGCATCGTACCCAATCTTTCCGTGCAAATCTCGTTCGTGCAGACTCGGGGCTCCCGACGCAGCCCGCCTTCCGCCAGCCTTCGCCGGCGGAGGGTGCCTTCCGCGCTGCCTCCGCCGCCCCGCCGCCGCCCACCCGCCGCCAGGGCAGCGGAGTGACAAAAAACTCCTTCGACCCTCGAGCGCGAGGCCGGATCTGGAACGCCTCGGATGGTCGGGGACAGGGCTGGATCTACACGTTTTTTTTGTTTCGTGTTGTGGTCGCTTTCGGGCGCTAGGCAATTAGGTTCGCGCGTAGTCCGCCCGATCTCTGACGCTGCTGGCGCGCTCGCCTGCGGCCGCGAAAATTGAAAAAAGTTGTGGTCGTGTTGCGTCTCGGTTTGCCCTGCATGTTTTCCTGCGCCTCCCTCCCAGAACGAAAAACTGATCACGGCCGAAGTCCAGCAGGACAGCGTTTGGGTCAAGCTCTGGTCAGGGATGCGGTCAAGGAAGTCCCTAAACGCCGCGAGCTTCAGGGCCACGAATTCACGGTGTCCTTCGGGCTCGGGTTAAGTCGGGCATGTCCCTCTACAGGAGGAATATTCAAAAATAGTCACACAAAAAAATAAAGGGGACGTTTTTAGTATGTTTTGTTTTACCAGTTTGGGGTATGGTTTGACTATTTGTTATTCTTCGTCCAAAAATACACCTGTCGGGGGACACGCCCGACTTAAGGCTAGGGGCTGCAACACGCCCATCGGGGGCTTTCAAAGGGTGGGGCGTCCAAGAAGGGGGGGGGGGGGGGGGGGGGCGCAAGTCATGGCCGGAAGGCACGTGCGCGGCCCTGGGGGGGGGGGGGGCAGGGACGTATTGAAACGGGAATCGGCGGCGAGCGAAGGAGGGGGGGGAAGTTCAAAGGGGAAGGCCTTCTCCGAAGGTTTGGAAGACCCCCTGCCTTCGGAGAATCTGTCCGAGCCTTCCCCGAAGGCAGGCGAAAAGCTTCTCGGGAGGCGCGAGGGCTTCTGAGAAGTCCCGCCGCCTTCTGAGGGAGCCTTCTCCTTCTCATTTCCCCCCCTCGCTCGCCGCCGAAAGAGATGGCGGCAAGAAATCTGGGTAGATATCATGCCCCCCGCCATGGTATCCCCCCCCCCCCAGTCCTCAACCCCCTTCTTGGCCGCCCCTGGGTTGCCAATGGGAGGTCACAGACCAAGGGGGAGCGGAACAGAGCGAAGCGAGGCGACCGTTTGAGCCTGTCTGAACCGAAAGGGGCCCGAGAAAATCTGTCAGGAATGTAAAGGAAAAGACACAAATCGCAGATGTTCTTATATTTGTCCATACTTTCTGGGTTTTCTTCTCCCCCCCACTTCCCATATGTTCCTGGGAACCTGCGTTTGTGTGTGTCTGTGACAGAAAGGGGGATGCGGTCGGACCTACGACAGAAAAAACATCCTTCAAGAACGCGAGATCCTCCGCAGGCCCAAACGCACAGAACAGCCAAGGGTGCCCTCCCCACGAATGCACATGAACATCCAACAGGCACGAAGAACAGTATGGCATCCTCCCCGAACCGACCACGATCTTATACCTCGGTCCGACTGCAAGGGCAGCTGCGCTCAGAATCGGTCACCAGACCCCTCCCGGGGTCCACCTGGTGCAGCTTTTCACCACGAGTCCGTTGTTGACTGCCCCGATGCCCGGAAACAACCCTCGAGGCCTAAAAGAGCCAAAAACATCCCGGAACCGAGAACCTCGAATCTGCCCGCCTGTCCTGCTGGCTGGAACCAGTGCTGAACCACCTCAGACCCCCAGCCGACCCCGCGCAACCCTCTCCCCTGCCGAAGCCAAAAGGTACCCACACCGCTACTCCCCGCACCTCTCCTGGCGCGCGTTCGGACCAAGATTTTGAGGCGAATCCATCGGTGGCCTCCCCCTCTTCTGACCGTCTCCCCCCCCTTCCCGCGCGGGGCCGCGCGCGGGTCTCCCGCGGCGGCGCTGGCGCCAAGCGCGACTGCGGGTCCAGCGCGGACTTCAGCGCCGAGGCCTCGGGCACGCCCGCCAGCTGGGTCCTGCACGCCGGCGCCGTTGGTGCCGTCGTCGCCGTCGTCGTCGCCGTCGTCGTCGCCGTCGCCGTCGCTGTTCGGGGCAGGGGCTCAGGATGGCGAAGTTTGACGGAATTGGGGGTTTGAGGTCTTCGGGCGTTTGCGTCGTTTCTCAAGGGCGGCAAGGGCAAGTCGAAAGGAACAGGCAAAGGCAAGCACGAGAAGAATGGCAAAGGTACAGACGAAAACTACTACAACGCGACTCTGGGACGCCCTCGCGGCGGCAAGAAAGGCGGCGGCGAAGACCTGGAGGAGGAAAAGAGCAGAAAGGAAGTCGAAGGAACGGTAATCAAACAACTTGTTTCTCAAGCTTGTCGAGGGCATGCCACACGGTGGTCTGAACTAGCTCCTGGACGACAGGCATCGGGAACAACTCTATGTTTTCGATGCGCCGGCCGCATCCTGCAAGCATCCTGACTTCGGCGAAATTTTTTGGCATGTTACTTTCCTCCTCTCCTGATCCCATCGCATGCATAGGTTTTCACCTATAATCTCATCGACGTTGGCAGACGCAACTAGGATGATTGCACATATTCGTCGAAAGATTTTGTGGAGATTGCATGTTCGACTGAACGATGACATTTCGTCTTATTCCTTCCGAGCTCGGCCAACCACCACTAGTGTCAAAATGTTCCCTCACCATTTACCGCCTGAATGGGATTCAATGCTACATGCAATAACATACCAGATCTTCAGGCGCTTCAGGTTCACCCTCAACGGCGCCAGGGGCAGATCAAGATATTCCAACTTTTTCGGAAATCATTTGATTAGCATTTTGGTAGCTTGGTGACCTTCCGTGATTCCTGCCCTCACAGACCAGGAGGGAGGCTTCGCATTGGTTGCCAAGGACGTGCTGATCCACTCTCATTTCAATATTATGGCGAGCCCTCAATATGAAAAAGTTGAACCTTTCAACATAATTTCGAGACACGTTGTAGACGAGTGTGTCGATTGTCAAGATCGGCACCATAGTTGACCAGGTGAATGGTAAATCTGTATTGCAAAACTTGTATTGCAAAACTTGGAGGGTGGAGAGACTAAGCTGGATTGTTCTCTCGGGGAAACCTTCAAGGCACACAAGCCCCCTGGAGACATCACATTCGGAGCACTCCACACCCAACAAAGACATGACACGCATTAAAAGGCTGAAGACCTGGGCTCAGAGCTTAGGAAGAAACAGCGTATACTCAATAGCACGGAAGATCTGATCGAGATGCTAAACAACACGGAGTTTCCAGACAACGCGTCCCTTATGAGGATTGACGTGGCATATTGTTTCATGTCTGGCGAGGCTGCGACATTGATTGCTGGAGCCAAACGAATTGTACCAGAGCATCTCCAAACAATTGTGGGGGGGGGGGCATCGTCGTTTGTCTTGGACAACCAGTTCGTAGCTACCCGAGATGCTCTGGACCGCGCCTGGAAAATCACCCGCGGCTCGGGCATGGGCATGACTCATTCTGGAGATCTTGCAGAATCTGGTTTTTACTACCGTGTCGAGAATGGCAAAGCCGAGAAACAAAACATAGCTCTGAGAAAAAAGGTATGCGCGAATATGCCATGCATAAACATGACATCTTGATTTTCATCGATACGTGTATTGAGACTTTCTGGACGTGCATTGGTTGGCTTGGAGCGGGCCAAGATGGGTCCCAAACGTGCTTCGCATGCAAAGTAGAAGGCGTGTCAACTAGAGGCATCGACCTGCTAGACATTCACATTTCAAGGGGCCGATGTTTGCCAGATGCGGGAGGTTTGATTACAAGCCCATATGGAAGAAGTCCTCCCCAGGCGTACCATTGGCAACCACATCGGAGCCTCCGAGGAGTGTGCACTGTGCGTGGCCCTTCGCTGAGTTAGCTCGTTTGCACAGACATTCGACCAGCTGGTCTCTCAGCCTGGAAGCGCGCTCTGTGCCCGCCTCGAACGGTACAGTGTTCAACATCTGTCATCCAACTTTGCAAGGCTTGGGCCCCGCCCCCCTCCCGTGAGCACCACGCGGTGGCCCCGCGGATCCCAAAGGGAAGCAGACTGTGGGTGAGGTGCCCCTTTGATCGGGTGTGGGCAAAGACGGGTGTCGCAGGTCTTCTCAAGAACTTTATGTCCCTCGACATATCTCGTGACGTAGGCTTCCGATTTCTAGGGGGAGTACCCGAAATCCAGCCTGCTTGGGTAGTGCAGCGAGCACCGTTTTCACAAGTAGTTGTGAGATTCGCCTCGTGGTGTGAGCGTTTGGCCCGCCCTGGTTAGTTGGTTGGGGTGGTGGACGGTTGTGTCTATGATAGACCATTCCTGTGGCTCCGGTGGCGCTGACAGCGCCATGGGCCCAAGCACAGCGACTGCCCTGCTGCTTCGCGGTAGTCCTGGAGAGGCCGGTGCGCTTGGAAAAACAAGTTCCCATTCGTCATTTCTCATCTCTCACGGCCTGGAGATTCCACCCGAGATCGAAGCTCAAATTTCAAAGCGGCGCTTCCTCCTCCTCGTCATCATCATCGTCATTTTCCGAATCGTCAGCATCGAAATCATTATCGTCATCATATTGCTCTTCCTCCTTCTCCTCCTCCTCTTTATCATGACAAGTCAACATCATCACCCTTATAATGAATCGGATTTTGATTATGGTCATCACCACCACCACCACCGCCGCGCCAACCCTCATCATCATCGTGCTCACTATCACCCTCACCATCCTATTCCTCATCCTCGTCATTATCACCACCACCACCATCATCAGCAACATGGTGATCCTCCTCATCAGCATCAGAATACACATTATTATAATCACAAACATCACCAGTATCATCATCATAATCATCATCATCATCATCATCATCATCATCATCATCACCTCCATCATCATCAACAACAACATCATCAGCATCATCAGCATCATCATGATCATGATCAGCATCATCATCATAATGAGCATCATCATCAGTACCATCATCAGGCTCAGCATCAGCATCAGCATCAGCATCAGCATCATCATCATCATCATCATCATCATCATCATTATCATCATCATCATCATCATCAGCATCATCCGCATCCTCCTCATCCTCATCATCATCATCATCGTCATCATCAGCATAATCATAATCATAATCATCAGCATCATCATCATCATCATCATCATCATCATCATCATCATCATATGCATCATCAACATCATCTGCAGCACCATCCTCATCATCATCCTCATCATCAGCAGCAGCATCAGCATAATCAGCATCAGCAGCATCTGCAGTAGCAGCATCAGCATCAGCATCAGCAACAGCATCAGCAACAGCATCAGCAACAGCATCAGCAACAGCATCAGCATCAGCTTCAGCATCCTCATCACCACCAACACCAGCATCATCATCATCATCAGCATAATCATCAACCTCATCATCATCATTATCATCATCATCAGTATCATCATCATCATCATCATTGTCGTCATCAGCATCATCATCATCAGTACCATCATCATCATCAGCATCATCAGCATCGACATCAGCATCAGTATCAGCATCCACATCCTCCTCACCTCATCATCATCATCATCATCATCAGCATCATCATCATCATCAGCATCAGCATCAGCATCAGCATCATCATCATCATCATCATCATCGTCATCATCATCCTCATCATCAGCAGCAGCATCAGCAGCATCTGCAGTAGCAGCAGCAGCAGCAGCATCAGCAACAGCATCAGCATCAGCATCATCATCCTCATCATCATCTTCACCATCAGCATCATCATCATCCTTCTCCTTCCTAGGCCCGTGGGGGGTGGTAGATGCGAACACAGTCTTATCCTTCCCACGTCCTTCCCCCCTCCTCTCCTCCTCCTCCTCCTCCTCCTCCTCCTCCTCCTCTTCCTCCTCCTCCTCCTTCTCCCTGTCCTATTCCTGCTCCTCCTCCTTCTCCCTGTCCTCCTCCTTCTCCTCCTCCTCCGCACCCCTCCTCCTCCTCATCCTCCTCCTCCTCCACCTCCTCCTCCTCATCGTTCACCCAGTCTCCCCGCATGCACCGATGCTGCTCAGGCAAAGCACATTCCCCAATCCCGCGTGCAGGAGGCCTGCCCGGGATCGATGTTGGCGTATTGTTGTTGCCTGTCGTTCACCATCTTCCCCCGTCCATTCCGTATACATAACTCATCCCTGTTCACCCCTGGACATGCCAGTAGGGTGGGCCGGCGCTTTGCCTGAGACGTCCTCCCCTTGTACGATCCTGAAGCTTGAGACTTGCATTAGCTTCACGGATGTAGAGAGGGCCGTTCTCAAAATGTGGCTCTCCCCTAAGCCAGTCACGTTGATTCGCGGCGTTGAGAATCCCAGGGGTGGTGCTCTGGCGCGATTTAGGATTTCAGGACGCATGAATTACTTGGGTCCGCGGCGTTGAAGTCCCAGGAACGGTGTTGCGTGTCACGACTTAGGATTATATGACGGTTCGCATTGAATAGGCCGCTTTCCGAAATGAGAACAAACTATTGCAGGGACCTGCAAAGAGGGAACTCGGAGGGAAGTGTCATTGCAACATCGTCGATGCGTCTTCGGTTTGCACAGGTCCTCGTCCTCCTCCCGTCCTCCTCCGTCGACCTCTGAATTCTGATGCTCCTCCTCCTCCTCCTCTTCCTACTCCTCCTCCTCCTCCTCCTCCTCCTCCTCCTCCTCCTCCTCCTCCTCCTACACCTCCTCTTTCTTCCTCCCCCTCCTTCCCACCTCCCTCCTCCTCCTCCTCCTCCTCCACCTCCTCCTCCTCCCATTCTCCTCATCCTCCTCCTCCTCCTCCTCCTCCACCTCCTCCTCCTCCTCCTCCTCCTCATCCTTCATCGTCCTCTCCGAACTAACCCGAACACCGGGCGCCCCTGGCCTCCGCCGCGCTGGCCCCGACGCGCCGAACCCGCCCGGTGCCGCAGGGAGCGCGCGCGCGGGGGGGGGGGCGGTCCCCGAGCCGCCGAGGATGGCGCTGCCCACGGTGCGCATCGCAGCGCCTCCAACGCGCGCGCGCGCGCCACCGCACTGGGCGGCGCCCTCCACGCCGAGAGGTGCAAAGGCGGGGTTCATCCCCAGACGTGCTCACAACGCAAAATCAGCTACGCTGCCGAGGAACCCCACATGCTTCGTTTGTTTAACAATTGTCTTAGCATAGCGGACGTGCAACATACGTGGATGATACTAGGTGTTCAAGAAAGTACCACGCCTGCTGTGCCGTGGACGACCAGGGCGGATGGCGCCCCCACCCCCAGCGCACCCCCTTTGGCGTCGAGGAAATGCCACGCTTGCAATGCCTTGGGAGCTTGCAACGCATAGCGCCCCTACCCCCAGCGCACCCCCTGTGGCGTCGAGGACATGCCACGCCCTGCGAGCCTGCCAATGTAGGGGCATGCAACGCTTAGCGGGAGCATGCAACGCATAGCGGGAGCATGCAACGCATAGCGGGAGCCTGCAACGCATGGCGTCCCCACCCCCAGCGCACCCCCTGTGGCGTCGAGGAAATGCCACGCCTGCCATGCCTTGCGAGCCTGCAACGCATAGCGCCCCCACCTCCAGCGCACCCCCTGAGGCGTCGAGGAAACGCCACGCTGCCATGCCTTGCGAGCCTGCAACGCATAGCGCCCCCACCCCCAGCGCACCCCCTGTGGCGTTTTGGAAATGCCACGCCTGCCATGCCCCGCGAGCCTGCAACGCATAGCGCCCCCACCCCCAGCGCACCCCCTGTGGCGTCGAGGTAATGGTAATGCCACGCCTGCCATGCCTTGCGAGCCTGCAACGCACAGCGCCCCCACCCCCATCGCACCCCCATATGGTGTCGAGAAAGTGCCACGCCTGCCGTGCCCTGCGAGCCTGGAGCATATGGAGATCGCGCTCAGGGACCACCCCCTGCGCACCCCCTCTGGTGTCGAGAAAGTGCCACGCCTGCCGTGCCTTGCGTCTGTGTCCGTGTCTGTGTTGTGTGGCGTCACCGTGTGGTGTGTAAGTGTCTGATGAGTGTGCGGCCGTGTCTG